ATGATCAACTTCTTCCCCTGAGCTTTTACACATGTAGCACCAACTAACAAGTGTAATTCCTCTTTTTCGTAGATTTTCAACAGTGAAGATCACTCCCTTCAAACCTAGCCATGCAAAAAAGAACACCTTCATGGGCGCCTTAGGAATCCAAATCGAGGAGTATGGAAAAGTGGTCTCCTCTCTCACTAACATACTCTGGTAAAAGGACTTTACGGTGAACAAACCATCGCCACGCAACCCCCATCTCCAAGAATCACAAGATTGGTTGGCGCCTGTCTTGCCCATATAGCAGTGCCAACAAATCTTGGAGCTCCGCAATCTCCCAATCTTGCATGTTCCTTCTAAATGAGAGGTCTCATACTACCCCGCCTCCCCTTCATGCTCCTTGCGAATCTGTTGAACCATCAATTCCTTCTGGTTTGAAACTCTGTAAGACGTGGGGAAAGAGACCCTCAGAGTATCCTCTCCACACCACCTATGATTCCAAAAGCTGATTCTACTTCCATCTCCCACCCTGTAAGTGATGTTGCCATTGAAAGCTTCCCAATTCTTCATGATGCTCCCTCCACAGAGCATTCTACCCCGAATCTCCACAGCCACTTCCCCAACAAAGCTCTGTTGAATACCCTAAGATCTTTTACTCCAAGTCCACCCCACCTCTTTGGGGAAGTGATTGTCTGCCAATTCACTAGATAAAACTTTCTAGTTCCATCCGCCGCATCCCAAAGAAAATTCCTTTGAAACCGCTCCAGTTTTTCTATGATGCTCACAGGAGCTTGCAACATGGACAAGTAATAGGTAGACATACTCGATAAGGTGCTTTTAATAAGCACTTCCTTATCACCTTTTGACAAGTACCGTTTCTGCCAGCGTGCTAATCTTTTTTCAACCCTTTCGATCACTGAATTCCAAGCCATAGTATCCTTATGCGAAGCGCCCAATGGGAAACCCAGGTAAGTAGTGGGAAGAAAGTCCACCTTACATCTGAGAACATAAGAAAAAGCATCGATGTTAGCAACTTCAACCGCCGGGAAAATCTCATACTTGCCGAGGTTGATTTTGAGTCCTCATACTATCTGAAACCACTGCAGGACCTGCTTCAGGTAGGTCAACTGATCCATATCGGCAACACAGAAAACCAGAGTGTCATCCGCAAAAAGCAAATGAGAGACTCTTCAGGCACTGAGCGCCCCGATCGGAGCTGAGAATCCTCTCAAGAAGCCTCTGCCAGCCGCACGATCCATCATTTTACTCAGAGCATCCATCACTAGAATGAATAGCATGGGGGATAGAGGATCACCTTGCCTGAAACCCCTGGAGCTGCCAAAGAAACCACATAGGCTACCATTAATCACGACAGAGAATCTGACTGAGAAAATGTAGAACTTGATCCATCCCCTCCATCTTACCCCAAACCCCATCCATATCATAATGAAATCCAGGAACTCCCAATTGATGTGGTCGAAAGCCTTCTCAAGGTCCAACTTGCATAATAAGTCGGCTTCTCTATTTTTCCTTCTGGAGTCTACAAGTTCATTTGCCACCAAAGCAGCGTCCAGGATCTGCCTACCTTCCACAAACGCATTCTGGGAGGACGAAATAGACACGTCAAGAACCTTCTTGAGTCTATTGGATAGCACTTTAGAAATAATCTTGTAAATGCTCCCCACGAGACTAATAGGCCTGTAGTATCTGATACAAGATGCACTTTCTTTCTTATGCACAATGGAAATAAAAGAAGCATTGATACTTCTCTCGAAAACACCATTCACGTGGAAGTATTCAATGGCTTCCATCAACTCCCCCTTAATAGTGTTCCAACAGAGCTGGAAGAAGGCCAAGGAGAAACCATCAGGCCCGAGGGCCTTATCACCAGCACAACTCGACACAATCTCGTGCACCTCCTCCTCCTCCTCGAAAGCCCTCTCTAGCCACTCACTGTCTCCCTCCCCCCCTCCAAAGTAGGCCTCCAACTAACTTCCTCTTTGTATAAGTTCTCATAAAACCCCACTATCACCTCTTTTACCTCCTCTCCCTCAATCCTCACCCCATCCACAACTAAAGACTCTATGAAGTTTCTCCTTCGATTTGCAACCGCAACCCTGTGAAAAACTTGGTATTCAAATCCCCTTCCTTTAACCAGAGCGCCCTCAATTTTTGCCGCCAACTAGTCTCATGAGCTATTGCTAACTCGACTATTTCCCTCTTAACCTCCCCTAGTCTCACTTTCTCATATTCTAACTCCCTCGCCCTTTCCCCTCTCTCTAATTCCCAATTCATGCATAAGCTCGCTCATTTTAATCTCTACCCTACCAAAAACCTCCTTATTCAACTTAATAATATCTCCCTTGAGCAATTTAAGTTTCTTAGAAAGGCGGAATGAAGGTGTCCCTGATACCCCGTAGCTTGTCCACCATTCTTTCACTTTGTCACCAAATCCTGGCACTTTCAATCACATGTTCTCGAATTGAAAAGGAGCACGCACCCCCTCCCTCTGCATCCATCTAGCACGATAGGCAAATGATCCAAAGTCAGCCTAGGTAAAGGAATCTACAGCACATTCGACACCAGCTCATCCCAGGAGGGCGATATCAGAAATCTATCAAGCCTAGACCTTGAGTTAGAATCCTCCGCCCTGGCCCAAGTAAACCTTTCCCCTGACAGAGGAAGATCAATGAGAAAATGATCATTGATGAAGTCAAAAAACTCCTCCATGGCCCACGAAATCAGGCTACACCATAATCTCTCCTCTGGGAATCTAATAGTATTAAAGTCTCCCCCTATAACCCATGGAATGTCCCATTCCCCCATAACATTGGCTAGTTCCTCCCAGAAAAACACCTTGGACCTTTCTCCTACCGGTCCGTACACTCCCCCAAAACCCCAATCCACCCCACTCACTCTATCTTTAACAAGAACTGCTAAAGAAAAAACTCCCTTCTTAATCTCCTTTACCTCCAAGCTTCTATCATCCCACATACGAAGAATGCCCCCGGCACTTCCCGCTGTTGGGACCCAGTCATATTTCACCCAACTACCTCCCCGAACAATCCTCACAATCGCATCCTACAAAACTTCCATTTTTGTCTCCTGAAAACAAACTAGGTTGGCATCCCACTCTCTAACTCTCACTTTGATAATGGCCCTTTTGTTTGGGTCATTCATCCCCCTCACATTCCATGAAAGAATCTTAATTTCCATAAGTAACAATATCCCCTTTCCCCCCCCCCCCC